AAAGGTTAAAAAAATGGCTGGGAATTAAAGACTTATGAATAATGTGGAGCAGGAAAAGCATCACCTCTGGTTTTCAGAATTCATCAGATGGAATTAGAATAGACGAGGTATGTAATAAATTTTTATCTAATTTGATGCAGTTTTGTTAATTTTGTAGTAATTTTGAGCTGTTTGTTGTGTTTCGATCTGAACATAGAAAGTATCATGTAAAATATAAATCCCATATTATAATATGTGATATGTGAACAAAGTTTTTAATGTTTTAGAATAAAACTTATAAAACGTTTTAAAGAATTCATAGAAAGAAAGTAAATTCGTCGTTTTATATAATGTTGCTGATGTTGCCAAATTTATACCGATATTATAGGTCTGTTCTCAGAAGAATCCCTGACTAGTCAGCGCGTTTCTTATTGGTTGAAATGTGTAGAAACCAGACTAACAATCAGGTTTCTACGCATTTTAACCAATAAAAAACGCCTCGCCCTCAGTCAGGGATTCTTCTGAGAACAGACCTTATATCACAATAATATACAGAGCAAGTCTTAAATAAGTGCAAATATTTTTAGAGGTCGTATATTTCGGGGATAACAAATTTAAAATTTTGAGTTTTTGGGAAAAAAATTCCGAAATGTTTTTAATTTAACATATTTTGATAATATGGTAGCACAGTTATAATTAATCAGAGAGATAGGTATATCTCGATATTTTTTTAAGCGGAGTATTTAGAGCTCAGAATACGACTGGTCACTTAAGGCTAAGCCAACACTGATACCAGTAATCAGTGCAACAATTCGCAGAAAGTTAATAGAGAAACCTATCAACTTAAAAAAAACGCTCTGATTTGGTTTATATTGATTTGTTTTTGGCAGCCCTGTTATGGAGAATCAAGAAAATAAAAACGAAAATTGACTGATAAAGGAAATATAAGTAGCAGTAGCACATTAATTCCCGATTGAATATCGGAATAATATACTGGGTGTTTCATTTAAAATAAGAGTAACTTGCTTTTAGAGGTGACCAATTAATTTTGTCTCACCCTGCATAACTTTTTGAGTCAGGTTTTAATTTGATTTAAAGTACAATCGTTATTTTAACTATATATTGAGCTATACCGGCTATTTATCAATCATGCAGTTTCATGAAATAATTTGTCGTGTGTGTTTGTTAATAATGCCGCCGAAAAAAAGAATGTTAACGCCGAAAGAAAAAATGGAAGTAGTGAACGTAATCGAGATAAAGAAAAACTATCAACTCTGGTTATAGTACCATCATTTCGCATAGGAAAGACGCAAGCTACGATGATAGCAAAAAATAAAGAGGACGTCCGACGTTTGTGACAGTCTGGTGTAAATCTGCACCAAAAAGTAGTTTTTTTTCGAAACTGAAGGCTTAAATATAATAGGTAGAATTTATATAGGGCATATTTTGAGCGGTTCATAAGTAAAAAGTGTGTTCAGAAGGAAAACTGGAAAAAGAGACTAACGGTATTGTTTTGTGCAAGCATGACTGGGCAGATAGGAAAACCAATTGGTGATTGAAAAATCGGCGTGTCCCCAAAGTCATTGAAAAACATAAATATTAAAAATTTACCTGTCATGTTGAAGTCAAATACAAAAACCCGGATGACTGGTGAAATAATGGCCAAATGGTTAAACGAATTGGATCGAAAATGGACATTGAAAATAGGAAAATTTTGCTATGATGAATGACGAAGTAGATGACGTTCAAAAGGAGGAAAATAAAATAAAGTGCTACGAAGAGGCTTTAAATTACATTAAAGAACTTAAAAATGTTTTCTGAATACGACTATGTCGCTTTTGAACAAATCAGGAATTTGGATTGTCATTTCCAGAAATGCCGTATTCTCTCTCTCTCTTCAGTCCCGACCCCCATTAGGGAGTGTAGTGGTCAGCGTAACACCATGGATGATTTTTCTCCATGCGCCTCTGTTTTTGGTCATCTCGATGACATCGTGCATTGGCTTGAAATGCCGTATTGGAGAACAGCAAATAAAACTTAAGCAGTCAAGTACTTATTTAAGACTTTTTCAAAGTGCTCCTAATCATTTATTCTTATGTTTGATCTTTCCACAAGTTTAAGTTGCATGATAATACTCTGAGATCATATGATCGAAAAAAAAACGGCGTCCAGTGGGCTGAGAAATCACCATCGATGACATTTCCCATATAAATTTACATATAAAATGACAGCGATCTTCATTTCATAGCCATCGCTGACGCCGTTTTTTGTTTCAACGATCATACGGTGTTACATGAACGTATTTGAATAAAAAAATGATTTGTATCATTTATTATTTCATTTTTTATTTATTTAATACAATTTTCTCTTAAGCGGGTAAAAAATCTGGAACTGTGACTGCCCGTTTATGGGAGATTTTACTGTATATCCATATTTTTTGTAAATTTCCTTTTTTTTTCAGTGTAGGTAAACGACAGTTGTTTTAAAAATTAGTGGTTTCGTCAGCTCTAGACGGTCTTCCGTTTTAATTCAGTAAAACGGCCGCGTGTTTTTTTTTCTTTTATATACCGGGTGCGTCTCCCGTATAAGTGGCTCACCCGTATAACTTTTTTATTTTTTTCAGATAATAAAACGAGATTTGCTATGTTAGTATATGACATAAATTAGGATTGATTGTCGTCTTCAATTGTTTTCGGCCACTTCCTGTTTTACCGGAAATAACTACAAATTTTGATTTTTAAATGGCACCCTCGGTATTTTTTTTTTACTTTATTCCATAGAAAATGACACTCTGAATAGAATGACTGTGTTAATTTTTAATCAAGGAGCCTTGGAAAAATAAATTTGTTCATCTAATGTTTTTCATGTCTTATCCTGGCTGGTCAAAAGATGCTCAAATCGTATTTTTTAACATATCTCAACTTTTTCAAATAGAACGAGGGTGGCTCATTAGCATATTTGGAAAAAGAATTTTTTTGCAAATAATTTGGCACTACACATTTGATATTTCAAGTCAAATTGCCGTTACATTTACATATGACCATGGCACTCTAAATTGAAACTTAAAATGTTATGTTTTTTAAACTGAATATGTCATTCTATTCAGAGTATTATTTTCTATCGTATAGAGTAAAAAAATACTAAGAGTCCCATTTAAAAATTAAAAGTTGTAGTAATTTCCGGTGAAACCGAAAACAATTGAATATCAATCAATTCTGATTTATATCATATATACTACGGTTGACATTTCAGATCTTGGGTGCCGATTTTCGTTTGTACGAAGAGTACGACCAACACGCTTAGTAAAATAAGATGTATTGAATAAAGACAGAAGAGCAGTATTTTCCCAAGCGCATGCAATCTAACATCAGATTAAGTGGTTATGTAATAAGTATTTCGTATTTTTGCTCACTCCGACTTACTAGATTGCTATAGCAATTCACTCCTATACATGTAAACGCCGACCCAAGTTTTCGCTTGCCAGGATGGTATAAAAAAATCTCGTTTTTATCTGAAAAAATAAAAAAGTTATAGGGGGTGAGCCACTTATGAGACGCACCCGGTATATTAACTTATTATATTATTATTTATTTTACTTGATACTTTTTGACCAAACAGATAAAACATGTAAAGTAATAGTATATTTTATAGTACTCTCGAGAACGCCGTCATCTGGATATTTAATCTGAAAACGCTGTTAATCTGGAAGATTTTTCATGCATTATTTAATATCAAATTATATATAGCCTTTTAAAGGGAAGGATTACAAATGAGTCAATATTTTACAAGTTACATAAACACAAAAATATATTATACCTATTCTCAATAAATCTTCTAAAACGTATAGTAAACATTTAAAGCTTATATTTATCTCTTACGTATATAAGTACATATTTAAAGGTTTCTAAAAACTTATTTGGGATAAATCTGGAAAATAATTTAATCTACAAACATACACGTTTATGTGCTAGAAGAGTATTATCTGTATTGTATGATAAATATCTTATTGTTTTACGTATTTCTCCCGATTAATAAAATAATGAATAATTATAATTACCTTTGAGTGTAACTAAACTTTAATTTCATCACTATTAAATAAGAATGTACCTGAATTCGTCGATGTTATTTTAAATTATTTAATATTTTTTTCCTTCTTTGGAGATTAAAATTTATGTCATCAGCTACTCTAATTATTCAGCAAATTTAGTTTAGATGCCATATAAAATTTTGATGCACTGACACAGACTTTTGCAATAGATGATTAAATGAAATTCCCAAAAATTTGTGTTATATTGTACACAATTAATGATACCTATTACAAATTGTAATAACGGCAACACGCAGTTATTAAATTTTAGCACTTTGTACAGGGTGTTCACGTATATTTTAGCCAATAACCATCTCTGTAAATATTGTTTTTAGAAAGTATAAATTATAAATGTTTTGTCTGAATTGCTAGAATATAAAATTTCGAAATAAAAAAACCTTTTCCTTGGCAAATTTTGACATAAATTTTAAATAAACTATCCGTCTATGTGATTGATTTGAAAGAATACTTATTTTACATTGTCTTGAAACTGCATAGAATTATTAAAACTAAAAAAAAAGGTTTTATTATTTTTAAAAAATGTACAATTTTTGAAATCAGAAATAAAATGTCTATTTAACTGATACATCAGATATAGGACATTCTATTTAAAAAATGCAACTTATGTCAAAGATTGACAGTTCAAAGAGTTTTTGATATTTAGAAAATTAGAATATATGACGATTCAGACAACACTAAAAATTTCATAATTTATTTTTTTCGTAAACCCAATGAGATTTTATTGGCTAAAATATACATGAACATCATGTACTTAATTTGGATTACAAAAGCTTTGCGATATATTGTTATTGAAAGCGTTAGTGTCGTTTCCAGAGGAGTGCATACTAGAGAGGCTTATAATTAACTACTAAACATATTTTTGCCTTTGCATAAACTACTTTGGAAAATACGCGTGACGAATAATACAAAACACTTGAGGTTTAAAGTTTTACTTTAATAACATGCTGACGGTTTTTGGAAAAACTACAATATGAATATATGGGATTAGGCCTAATAAATTCAACTAAAAGTCAACAACACAATATAAAAAGCCTCTTTTTAAGATCTATTTATACTGAATATATACATAAAACAAAGTTCTGTCTAAATAAAAAGCAATAAAATGGTTAAAATGAAAAACAAGAATTGACAAACAGAAATTGTAATGGAATGTACAAATTATTTATTTTCAACATAATTTCGCTGTTCCCTTCATTACAGAAACCATTCTACATCTTAATAATCTACAAGTGGATGTCCCTGTCCTTGAACTAATCACACTAAGGCAAGCTCAGCCCCCAAATTCTGTCGACAAAACAACTGGACAAACGACATCCATAAAGATTTAACACCGCATTATACAAAGATTAAGGTGACTAAAATAAAACAGAATATATATACCATCTTAATGCTAAGTTACAAATCTCAGCTGCACGGAATACCGTCCTTTAATGACGGTTGACGTGCACCATGTAGTTATGTTTTAAAGTAGCTGGACATCAAACTATCAATACATATGCTGACATTTATTTACAACAATTTTGTCAACTACCTACATATGTGGATAGCTGAAATCATCTAAGATATATATGAAACCAAATACTAAAAACAGCAACTTGTGATAACTTTTGTACAGATTTATTTTAGACACCGATTTTATATTAAACTTAATATAATGTAATACTGGGTTGCACACAATTGTTCTCAAAAAAAGATGGTATACTTACTATAAGCTGTTGAAATATATCCCTATATAATATTTTTAATGATGACTAAGAACATAGCACAACAAAGTAATATAATTTTTATCATGGAATACGTTTTGATGATATGTAGAATGAATATAAAAATTAAGAGAACGCAAACCACTAAAGCGGAGATATAATAAATTACAGCTTACAATGCAATATAACAAAAATCAATAATAATGTCTTAAAATGAAATTAAAAATAAATTGTGCTATTTTTTCCACTTTATTTAACTGCATACTCAATGGAGTAGCATTTAATATATTTTATAGATAAAGGTAACCTAAAATCTATACACTAAACAATAATTAATTTATTATGAAGTATACCCTCGCGAAACTGACTGAAACAATGTAAAAATCTATTTACATTATGATGGGGGTACTGTTCATAGTTGACCTTAACAGTACTCCTATCATAGTTAAATATGATGCTGCCACCTTCGCCATGGTTTACATTATTTAGTTTGTTTTTACACAAGTAACATCCAAAGTTATAGACTGTCGACCACGGAAGGTTTTTTTGAGAGGGAGTTGAACGGAACATGGGGGTGGGAATTGTAACAGATTATTTTGCGTACAAGTAAATGGCGACGATAAGTCCGTAAAGACCTAATACTTCAGCGAAAATGAGGATCAAGATCATTCCTACGAACAGTCTTGGTTGTTGCGCTGTTCCTCTGACACCGGCGTCTCCCGCAATACCAATAGCAAATCCGGCCGCCAATCCAGAAAATCCTACGGCTAAACCTGCCCCCAAATGCAAAAAGCCCCTGGAAATAGAAAATATAATTAAAATCTGGGAATATAAGGACAGTGGTGCAAGTTGACAAATCAGAATAATTGAAGACTTGAAGTAAATAATGTGCCAAAAAATCGGTTTGTCATGTTTTATTTGTTTATTTATTGTTTTCTTGGCAGGTTAAGGTGCCTATTCACTATCCGAAACAAACGGACGAACGAATATAAATTCGGTATATTTGGATGGGAACCGAATTCATGCGGCCATTCGTATTCAGATATGGACGGGTTTAAGTGAGTAAGTACAGGTAAGTAAATAACAAATGCAGTAATCATTTTTAGGGTTCCGTACCCAAAGGTTAAAAACGGGAACCCTATTACTAAGACTTCGCTGTCCGTCCGTCCGTCCGTCTGTCACAAAGGTCTATCTTATGAACCGTTATAGCTAGACAGTTGAAATTTTTACAGATAATGTATCTATGTTGCCGCTATAAGAACAAATACTAAAAACAGAATTAAATAAATGTTTATAAATCAAAAAGTAAAATAAAAACATTAAATCACCACAAAATACACCAAAACACTTTTACTTTTACACTGGACGCGCGTTTCGTTAACCATGTAATTTTTTTTTCTTTCCAACGAAAGATATGAAATAAAAAGAGATTACATTAGGAATGTAGCTGAGTGTAATGGATATTCTCCTTCACTAGTTGATAAATTAATTAGAAAACGTAGGTATAGGTTATAGTGATTTCTGAAAATTCGACTTTTCAAGTGGAGAAAGACACGTCTAAATATTTTTCGATACCGTTTGATAGTTATCCCGTGGTCTAAAAGGAATTTTTAAGAATGTCAATTATAAACTTGTGTATAGTGCCAATAATAAATTACAACAATTATTAGGTAATCCAAAGGATAAAACACCTCCACTGGAAAGGTCGGGTATTTATGAAATTTCTTGTAAAGATTGTAATCAGAAATATGTTGGGCAAACTAGAAGATCAATATTAACTAGATTTAAAGAACAGTTAGCTCAGATAAGATATGGTAGAGCGGATAAATCTTGCGTTGCCGAACATATTGTTGATAAAGAACATTGTATAGATCTTAATAATTTAAAATTAATTAAACAAGTCTCAAATTACAGGCAATTAGATGCACATGAAAGCATCAGAATTAATAAATGTATCTTTAATACTATGAACAGAGACAACGGTCCAATTCCTTCAAGTTCTTTGTTCCTACTACTCTAGTGGCGGAAATCTGACTGTTACGCTCGGTGGGCTCTGACTCGGTTGGCTAGATTTTGCCACGCCCACTCGGTGCCCACTGAGCGAGTATATAAACGCTCAACTTGTAGATTGTACTTTAGTTTATAATCATCTGCTGATGATGCTAGCATGGTTAGCGAAACGCGCGTCCAGTGTAAAAGTAAAAGTGTTTTGGTGTATTGTGGTGATTTAGTGTTTTTATTTTGCTGTGTAACACCAAAGGTTCCAACCCTCAACTGTAATAAAAAAGTACTTTCACTAAAGATTATCTTTTAATTAAGAATTTTACATAGAATCTTTCTAGTCCTCGGTGGCCGCGCGGTTAAAGCGTTAGGACTTTACGCTGCTATGACGTTGGAGCCGTAGTAAGGCCGGTTCGAATCCTAGTCAAGGCGACTTTTTTTTAATTTTTACATAAATATTTTTACTTTTTACATATTTATTATTGATTAATACAATTTTTATGTGTTTCTTCATTTTTTTTAAACTACTTATACGCGCATTCAAAATTTCAGCTAAATCGGAAAAAAGGTATATAATAAATGTTGTATAGATAATGAATGGTACGGAACCCTTCGTGCGCGAGTCTGACTCGCACTCGACCAATTTTTTTGGATGTCGTCGGTCTAAACTATCCTTTTACAGATTTTAGCTTTTTGGCTTCCTTAAATCTATAGTTTCAGTTTTTTGAAATGAGGCATTTTAACAGATTAATTTTGCAAGTTCAATTACTTACTTTAGTAAATTTTGTTTATACGTAATTTGATAATGTTGATTGTGACCAAGGCGTTAAACGCTATATACGGAAGCTATTATTATTATATATTATTGTTGATTGAAGAAATAAGATGCGCAACCTTATGGACGATTTCGTGACACAAAACATGTCCGACATACATGTACGCCAGCTGTAGCTGGCGTTACCGTTACACGTCCGAGATTTAGTTTAGTTCTGCACCGCTGCGCGCTGATAGTCGTTTACGGCGCAGCGAATAAAGAATACTGTACCGTAGTTCTACTTTCAGTCGACAGAGTTGGGAGTTGCCAGAAGTACAGATTAATCCGTAGATTTTCCGATTTTGGGTACACTACGTTAATACGTATTTACGTTAATACTATCATGTAACAATTTAATATATTATATAATTAAACAAAGAACGGCGTCAGAGGCTTGGAAATGAAGATCGCTGTTATTTCATACATAAAACATTATGGTAAATGACAATAGTCGTCATTTCCAAGCCAACTAAACGACTTTTTTCGATCATACGAAATATTCAGTACCTATAAAAGAAGTTTTATTTTTATTGTTTATTCTATATTTAACACGAATAAATTTCCAATTCATAAAAGCGGATTTTTCATCCAAAGATATTTTCGTCAAATGTATAACAGATATTACACATTTTAATATGGGAACACTGTCGCTTTCAGTTCCACACCGTCTTCGCTAGCCGAATTAGAGAAATTGAGTGTTTTATGCGTTGGCCGCGAGACGAGTAGAGGATCCACCGTACAGCACTTGAGACGTAAGGGGAAATCAAATCAGCCTTGTCACGCCCATTAGGTTGCGTATCTTCCCAAATCTTTCAATCAACGATATTAAATAAAATACTTTTCCAAAAAAGACTTCTAGGTATTTTACTACTAGAAGAATATCGAGAAAATAAAATAATTATTTTTGTAAACAACGCTGCGACAGTTTGCGATGCACTGAGTCAACGGAGACCAATATGTCACCGGTATTTTACCAATAAAATAAATTTGATTAACGGACAAAACATGCTTAACGTTTCAGGAGTTTGAGAAGTATGTCCTCCAAAAAAATACAGAGAACAAAGAAAAATCGATTTAAAATATATAAATATGGAAATTCAAAAACACTTTAGTTTTTTTAGCAGATACGTCTAATATAAACTGTTGACATTCTGTTAAAATTACATTAGATGAAGTCTTCAAAATTAATAACTACTAACTACTACTGCTGTGTAACACCAAAGGTTCCAACCCTCAACTGTAAACTACTACCTGATAACAATTACTTAATGGGGTAAAACTTCCAAACTTTCTGTATATTTTTTTTGTTTGTATTTAATTTTTACTTATATTTATTAAAATCAAAGAAGCGATAGCGATACATTACTAACCTTTACAGATACTTGGGTAATGGATTTATTTATTTAGATTTTGTTTTATTAGTAAACCGCTGACAAATTGGTCTCCGTTGCACCAACGCAGAGGTGTGTACAAAAAATAACTATTTAATTTTGTAGATTTTCTTCTAGTGGCAAAAAACAGTAGACTACTTTAACTTTAACTGTAATATTCGTCACATGATTAAGTTAAGGGAGTATAAAAATGTCCATATGTATACATATACTGTGTCGACAAGAGAAAGACTTGAGTCGGTATTTAAATTGTCTACCCGAAGTGAATAGCTATGCCAATCTTCATTGCAAGATAAATGCAAAGTGTTTATTACATAACTTAATCCGGCGCACATTTCATGCGTTCGAGAAATTACTTTTCGTACAGAGGAAAATCGGCACTCCAAGGCAGTCTTTGTTGATCGTGAATAAACACATATAACAGCTTCGTTCCAACTTCGACGAAAACCGTTCAATGTACAGTCACGGTCAAGCGCACTATGTTCCTATATCCCAACCGAGAGATGATCGTTTACCGTACGATTTCGTTTACGTTCCAACCCAATGACTAAAGAATATAAGGACATGTAACGCCCCTATACGGGCTGCAGCAGAATTTGTGACTTTTTTTGTTTTGGTGGCAAACAATGAGTCATCATTTGGTCACCAGCGACAATTTTAGCGATTTTTAATAGTTTGTGTGTAGTAAACTTTGTATAAACTTTATTACAATGGTGATTAGTTGTTCAGCTTTCAAGTGTAAAAGCAGCAGCGATAAGAAAGGGCTAGGAGTTACGTTTCATAGGTAAATAAACAGTCCACTCCAACTTTTTAGCGTTTTCTTATTGAATTCGATAATTATTCTTCAATTTCAATTAACATCTAATATGTACTTGATATGTGCTATACGTCGATACTAGTTTTGTACCTTTTGTTAACATTTTAATACGTTTTTTTCGTAATTAATTAGGATGATACACCATAGGCGTAGTCAAAACAATTATCAAAAAATATAAATATTGCTTCAAACAGCTAGGCTAAGAAAAATATGTGCCACGGCACTGTTTGGTGACAGCGTCACAATTTGCTCTCGGGTGTTATTTGTCCTTGGATTCTTTAGTCATTGTTTCAACCAAACATGTGACTGTCAAAAAACCAGTTTCGATACCGTCATTTTTTTTCGATCCCAGGTGAAAAGCAGAAACCATGTGGGCCGACAAATGATTGACATGCGCAATTTTAGTCTAAACATTCGAAGCTCGAATCTAACCTAATCTAGTATAATCTGTGGTAATATAAACTATTGTTTGCAATTTTTGTTATATAAATTTATGAACGTGAACAACAAAAACAAAACAAAAAAACATATATATTTATGATCTGATATCTGATTTAGGTTAGACCAGCTAGTCTTCTTTTCCTTCTCTACCTTCTATACGAGGAATGACAAATTACATCTTATAAAACGGTTCTAAAACCGGTGTACCGAAATAGAACTGTACGAAGTTATGCGATTGCAATCAATTCTAGGGGTTCCGTAACCGTTTCGTGACGGTACAAAAACGTGGAGTTGGAACGAAACTAATAGTACCTAATGATTTATACACCATT